CCCCCCCACGTCCATTGCCTTACCCCACCCTGTTTCTGCTGCATTTGCCGGTGTCTCTGCTCGCTCCGCCCGGTCCGTTCTTCCGTTTCCAGCCTGTTGTGGTTCCTTCTCGTGTCTGAATGCATTCCGTGTGTTGCGAAGCGAATGTGGCATGTGTGTGCTGCGGTGCGTGGAGATCGCGATGGCTCGGTGAATTGCCCGGATGCCTCCACTGCTCGAGCTGCGCACCTGGACGACAGTGACCTGAGCGCATCCGCATTGCTCACCACCATCCCTCCTCTACGCTGAAACAACGATTAACATCGCTTAGCAATGTCGAACGCAAAGGGAACCGTCGGATTCATCGGCTTGGGCAGTATGGTAAGTGGCCAACTCCCCGGACGTGTGGTGATCTGCATCGTAACTGACGTGGGGTGCTGCGTGTAGGGCAAGCCGATGGCGGTGAATGTAGCCAAGGCTGGGTTCGGCGTCAAGGCGTTTGATCTGCGCGCCAAGGCAGTGGATGCGTTCGTGCAGGCCTCGGCGAGCGATGGTGGTGCAAGCGCAACGTCGGCGCTGGACGCTGCTGCGGGGAGCGACTTTTTGGTGCTCATGGTGGTCAACGACTCGCAAGCACGGTCGATCCTGTTCGATCGATCGACGCCGGAAAGCAAGACGCCGCTCGAGGCGCTCAACGCGTCTGCCTGTGTGATTCTCATGGCCACCTGTTCTCCCGGCGCGGTCGTGGCGTTGGAGAAAGACATGCTGGCCGTGCGGGCCGACGTAGCGCTGGTGGATGCACCCGTTTCGGGCGGTGTGAGTGGGTCCACAAACGGCACACTGACCATCATGGTCGGCTGCACACCCGCCGCATACGAACGCTCACGACCCGTACTGTCCGCCATGGGCGACAAGCTGTACCACATGGGCAACGAGGTGGGCAAGGGCAACAGCATGAAGGCGATCAATCAGGTGCTTTGTGGCATCCACGTCGCTGCGGCCGCTGAAGCCCTCGCACTCGCCACCAAGCTAGGAGTGGACCGCGAAACGGCGCTCGAGATCGTCAGCAACTCGGCAGCCAGCTCGTGGATGCTGCGGGATCGAGGCCCGAGAATGCTCCAGGAAGAACCAGAGATCCACTCCATGACCCAGATCTTTGTCAAGGACCTAGCGATTGTCGCCGAGGCAGGCAGGCAGTACGGCGCCGCTCTGCCACTCAGCGTCGCTGCACACCAGATGTTCGTCGCTGCCGATGCGAGGGGCCAGCGACACATGGACGACTCGAGCGTCATCCGGTGCTACGAGGCACTCAACGGCCCTGCTCCCAAGTGAACCGCATGTCCCCAGCCGATAGCTTCTCCTCCGTGGTCAACCACTTTGTGAAGAAATGCACTTGTATTGTTGGTGCGAGTTCACGCTGAGCCAACGAGTTCTGCGAGCGCCTTCTCCATATCGCCCTTGTGCTTGGCAAGTGCAGCCTCGGCGATGCCGCGCGACACGAGCAGTTCCGAAACCTATGCAAAACCAAGCCTGTGATGAGCCCCATGTCGAGCAGATTTGCGGCGTGAGGGTTGGCACTTACGATAAACTCGACGTCTTCCTTCTTGAGCTTCTGACCCTGTGCGGGACCCGCTGCGAGGTGCGCAGGCATGACAGCGGCTTGGTCGCCAAAGCACAGCGACTGCACCGTCTTCTCCATGCGGCCGCGCTCAAAGCTGTAGCCCGACGAGTCAAAGTCGGCCCACTCCTGGATCACCTGCGATGTCAAAATTGGCATGGGCGAGGACGCGTCAGTATGTGGCCATACAGTGCGAGATGAGGCTTGGAGGTGGAACGTACCTCTGCCTGTGGTTTCGCCATGGCTGTTGTGGTGGTGATGGTGAGAGATGGTGGAAGGAAATGAAAGTCGAGTTGAGCTTTCCGACTGGTTCGGAATTCGGGCCAAATCCGTCCGCTCCGCTCCACACTTTTTTTGGAAGGCTTCGCAGTTCTTCTTGTCTTGTTGCATCTTTGCGCCTTCATCCTGGGGATCCAAAGCAGCGCAAGGTCTTGGAGCGTGCTCTGCGCTCATCGCTGCTCGCAATGATCCCCACGCCCTCGCTAGCCCACCTGATCAAGTCCGATCTGCGGCGCGTGTACGAGCCGGCTGAGGACAGCTTTGCGCTCCTGGATGCGCTCGAGGCGGATGCCGACGTGCTGCGCTCCTCGCTCGGCACATCTGGGCCCTTGTGCGTCGAGATCGGCTCGGGCAGTGGCGTGATCACCGCGTTCATCGCGCAGATCCTCGGTCCCGCCGCTGCGGCGTACGTTGCTGTCGACGTCAACGACCACGCCAACCGCTGCACCGTCGCTACGGGCAAGCACAACGGCGTGCACATCGAGGCGGTGCGTGCCTCGCTACTATCGGCGCTTCAGCCTAGGGCTGGTGGCAAGATCGACATGCTGCTCTTCAACCCGCCGTACGTGCCGACGGAGGAAGAGGAGGAGCAGATGGCGCAGCACGACAAAGATATTGCCGGCGCATGGGCTGGCGGCGCAACGGGCACAAAGCTCGTCGATGCCCTCATCGATGACGGCGTGATTGCGGATGTGCTTGCGCCCAACGGCAGATTCTACCTCGTGGCCATCAAGCAGAACGACCCGGAAGGTATCGTAAGCCGCCTCAACAGCCAGGCGCTCCAAGCCGAGGTACGTTGTGCTTATTGTGCGCTGCCCTGAGACTGCCATTGTGCCACATGCTGACCTGAACGATCTGCTGCCTGTGTTGTCATCGACGTCGCGCATTGTCGTAGGTGGTGCTGAAGCGTCGAGCAGGAGGAGAGCATCTGCACATCATCCGCGCTATCAAGCCCGGATCTAACAAGTAGCCACCCCAGCCGCAAAACACAAAGATACCCTCCCGCCAAGACGAGCTTGAGCTTTGTCTGCGCAGATGCAAAACCTGGTGCCGGGCCGATGGCAGGCAGCGGCAAACTGTGTGCCGGGTGCTAGCGTGTGTGTGATGAAGGAGCAAACAGCCGCGCTGCCACGGAGCGGAGGCGGCTGTTGTTCTGCGAGGACGAATGAAGGTGGTTGGCGGCGGTTGGATTTTCCGAGCTGATTCCGCGGCATTGCAGGATGGGCGTGTTCGGCGCGAGGACAACGTCTGTCAGGAAGCCTTACGGCAGCCAAGCAACGGTGGAGGGAGGCGGCTTATCTTGCCAGCACAAGCCATCAAGTCATCACACCATCACACCCTCCTCATCAAACAGCATGACAGGCGGCTCCTCGTCGAGGTCTTCCGCCGAGGCGTTGCTGGCGTGGGTGCAGCTGCATCCCTTGGCGGCGCTCGCCACGCTGGTGGTGCTGTACGTCACCTACAAGCTTGCGTTCAAGCCGGTGCTCTTCCCCTCTGCCTTGCGCGACCTGCCTCGTCCGAAGCGCGCATCCTACCTGCTCGGGCAGCGTCTAGTCGAAGCCAAGGGGCTCACCTACACCCATCCTGCCACCGGAGAGAGCGTCGAGGTGCGCGGTCCGGGCGACGTGACCAAGCACTATGCGCGCACGCTCGGCAGTGCGGTCTACGTCTTTCCCGAGCCGTTTGGCGGCGAGACGCTGCACATCGCCGACCCGTATGCGCTCAACGCGATCCTGTCGGACATCGACTCGTTCCAGTCCGACCTGCTGCGCTCGAGCATCATCGAGTTCATCGTGGGCAATGGCATCGTCACGCGCTACGGCGATGCGCATCGCAAGCAGCGCAAACTCATGTCGCCCGCCTTCTCCCCCGCCCACCTCAAGGCGCTCACACCCACCTTCACCGCCTACGCCGAGCGTATGCGCAGCAACATTTCCGCCGAGCTGCGTGGAAAGGGCGGAAAGAGCGTGGATCTCGCCGAGTTCTTGGACTGCACCATGCTGGATATCATCGGCATGGCGGGGTTCGGATACGACTGTCGTGCGCTCGAAAAGGGCCGTCAGGGCTCCGAGCTGTCGGCTGCGTTCAATGCGGTCAATCAGGCCGCCATCGACTTTGGACCCGGTCGTGCACTTCATCTCGGCCTCAGCGCGTTGCTGTATCCCAGAGCGGCGACGTGGCCACTGTCCGAGGCCAACCGGCGCATTGCCAAGGTGAATCGCGTCATGGACAGGATCACCATGCAGATCGTCGCGGACGCCAAACGCAGGGTGGAACAAGAGGGCGAGGAGATCAGCGACAAGAAGGATCTGCTCTCGCTGCTCGTCAAGAGCAATCTCGGGGCTGGTGCGGCGGATCGCATGACGGACCGCGAGATCGGGGGCCAGATTCAGACCTTCATGTTTGCAGGCTACGAAACGTCGAGCGTCACCACCTCGTGGGCGCTCTACTTTCTCTCGCGCCATCCGCATGTCCAGCAAAAACTGCGCGACTTGATCAGCGCTACACTGCGCGAGCGCAAGGGTGTGGGGCTCGACGACCTCGTGCCGGCCGATCTGGGCTATGACGATGTGTGGTGTGACGAGTTGAGGTATCTCGACTGGGTGCTGGCCGAGACGCTAAGGCTGTGTCCGCCCGTGCCCGGAAACGACCGCGAGGCTGCACGCGATGCCGTACTGCCCCTCATGACCCCCGTCACACTCAAGGATGGGCGGAAGATCTCGCAACTGCATGTGCCCAAGGGCGCACGTGTGACCATCGGCATCAAAACCGTCAACTACGACCCCAACCTCTTTGGCCCTGATGCCGACGAGTTCAACCCAGACCGATTCGCCAACCTCCCGCAAGCGCATGCCAACGCAAAGCTGCCGCCGTACAACACTTACTCGTTCATCGGTGGGCCCAAATCTTGGTACGTGCCACCCTCCTCGTCGTTACTCCGAAGAAGAACATGTGCTGACTCGATGCTTTTGTCTCGTTGGGACAGCATTGGCGCCAAGTTCGCGCTGACCGAGATGAAGGTGCTGCTCATCGTGCTGCTCGGTCGCTTTGCCTTTGCGCCCGTGCCCGGCGTGACGATCCGCCAGCACCAGGCGCTCATCGTGCGTCCGCGCGTCGAGTCGGCCTCCGAGGGTCCCGCGGCAGGCATGCCGCTCATCGTCACGCCGCTCTCCCAGTCCACCTCCTCATAGTCACCACGCCAAACTTGCAATAGGAACAATGGCGAATGAAGAAAAGTGGGCTATTGCAATTGCCATCTCAGCCTCCGTCGGCAGTGAGTCTGTCCGCGTCCATCGCCGGCTGCGCGGGCAGGATGGCCTGGCGCTTCGAGACGTCGGCGAGCACCTCGGCCAGCTGCTGCACGTCGTCGAGCGTGGCGAGCGACCACACCTCGTACGCCGACTGGGCGTCGGGCTGGTGCGCCTGGCGCTGCTTGTCGCGGTACGCCAGCTCCTTGCTCAGCAGATGCGCGCACGCGCGGCCCGGCCCGAGACACACGAACCTCTCCACACCCTGGGCGATGAGCGTGTCGATGGAGCTGAGCCAGTCGACCGGCATCGCAAACGCGCCCGCCAGATCCTCGCGGATCGTCGCACTGTCTCGCATCACGCGGCCCGTCCGGCTCGACACGAGCGCGAACCCCTCCGGGTCCGACAGCGGCATGTGCTTCACCGCCGGCCGCAAAAAGTCGGACGCCTCGAGCATGAGGCTCGTGTGGTACGCGCCGGATACGGGCAGATTCACCGCGCGCGCACCCAGATTCTTGGAGCGCAGCCGGTCGCAGCAGTACGACACACCCACGCGCGTGCCGGACAGCACGATCTGCAGCTGGCTGTTGATGTTGGCCACCTCCACCACCTCGTCGCGCGCCACCGACGCCACCTTGCCCTCGCGAATGTCGCGCGACACCTGCTCCACCTCGCGCAGCACGGCGCCCAACTTGCCCGGACGCACGACCACGCCCGACATCTGCGTGCGCTTCCAGCCGGGCGGCTGCTTGCCGCTCGCCGTGGCGTCCGCCGCGTCCTCGTCGTACAGCAGGTCGGCGCCCTTGCCGCTGCCCGCGTTGGCAAACGCCCACGTCTCGTAGATGCTCTCGGGCGGCGTGCAGCCGGGCGGGAAGAGCACGGGGTGCTTGGCGGTATAGTGCGACGCCACGAGCCCGCGGTGGCGCAGCAGCCGCACGGCATCGTGCATGTCCATCGCGCCCGACCCCACCAGCGCCGCATAGACGCCCGAGCCATGCCCCGACGCCCACTGCACGTGGTCGCGCACCAGATCAATCGAGAACTCCTTGCGCAGCACATTCAAGAACGCGAGCGTGCACGTGAGGATGGCGGGCTGCGCATTCTCGGCGCGCGTCAGCTCGAGCTGGTCGCCCGAGAAGACGAGGTCACGCAGCCATCCGCGCCGGCTGCGCGCAACGGCGGTGCCGCTCGCCGAGAGCCCCTGCTTGGGATCAAGCGAGCGCGTCTTTGCGAGCTCGGCCTCGAAGAGATCGCGCTGCTCGGCCGAGTGGGCGCGCTCGCCCTGAATAAAGTGGTGCGAGTGGATGCCCGGCGTGGCCATGAGCGCCTCCTCGGCCTGGTGCCACACGGAGCGTGCGGAGCGAAAGGCCTTGTAGAGGTCCTTGGACATGGCCACGTACTGCGAGCCCTGGCCGGGAAAGATGAGCGCGGTCTTTTTGCGCACGATGCCGATGCCAGGGTGGCCTTGCCCCACACCGCCGGTCGCCGTACCGGCGAGGGGCGGCTGCGTGCCCGGCGCCACGAACGACGACGCGTTGAACGAGGACGAGGGCGAGGAAAAGTAGGTGTGCTGCGGCAGCGGATGCTCGCTGCGCGTCGAGGGCGAGTAGCGGTGCTCGTATCGATTGGCGAGCGCCTCGTCGGTGGTGACCTTGCTCGTGCTCGAGCTTGCGGTGCTGCTGCTGCCGCCACCACCACCGCCAAACGTGGAAGGGGCCGAGAGGTGAATGGTATTCATCTTGCGTTTGCCATAGTTGGGGATGGCGCCCTTGCCGGCGTTGCCCATGACGATGGGTGCGCTTGCTGCCTTGGCGTGCGACGCGGGGGTTGGCGCTTCGGAGCCGACCGGACCGCCCTGGCTCTTTGCACCGCCGCCGAACGCCCAAGTGTCATCGAGCTGGTCGGAAGCATTGGTGGATTTGGAGCGGACGGACGAGGATGCGGGATGCGCTGCGGGTCCGGCTGTGTCGAGCACGGCGGCGCTGCTGCGTGAGGCGTGCGTAGTGCTGAGTCCGGCGTGGCCAGCGGATGACGCCGAGGCCTCTGTGGATGCGCTGGACGTCAACGTGGACGATGAGGATAAGAGTGGATGTGCCGAGGGCCCCAACGTGCGGTAGCGCGCCACGTATGCCGGGTCTCGAATCTGGGCGAGTGACTGGCGCCTGCTGAGCGCTGTTGTTGTGGTGGGAGGCGGTGCGGTGCTGATGGCGGTGGACGAGTGCCGCGGGCGTGAGGG